ACGATCTCAGGCGGTCGGATACTTATGACCGCTACTGTAGAATTATATTGGAAAAATGCAAAAAAAGAGAAGAATGTCAAAAGAGTGCATAATTGAAGAAGAAAAACCTATATTATTAAAGTATGATTTGTGATTAAAGAGAGAGATATTATAGTTTTTTTTTAAGTTATTTGATAATAGAGTAATAATCAATCTAGAGTGATTTAATTTTAGTGAGTACAAAATAATAAGTGGAAGACAAGAGGTTAAGGGTTAACAAATTATTTTTCAAAAGGTAGCATAATTTATTGAAAAGTATACAGTAGAAAAAAAATTTTACTACATTTTGAATTAATATAAATATAATTATAAAATGTTATATTCTTATTATAAATTAATTAATATTCTTTAACAATATAAAGTATATAGTTACCTCTTGATATAACGAAGTAGGCATCTAAGTCAATTAATTAGACCTTCATTATAAAAAAATTCATTAATACTATAACGAATAATTTGTTATAGTATAACAAATAATTTAGTATTAGTAAAAATCATGTGATTTGTCAATCTAATTCAAATTTTTTTTAACATTCTTTTTTTTATTTATTTATTTGTAGAAATAAGACTAGGAATGTTAACTAAAAACGAATTGAACTTTTAATAAGAAAGAGACTTTTTTTTTATCTTTTCTCTTTTTTTACTACATTTTCCTTTTTTCTTTCTATCTTTTGTCCTATACCTTTACTCCTTTTTCTATCTTTTATTTCCATTCCTTTTCCCTTTCTTCTTTTCGTTTCTATTCCTTTTCCTTTCTTTCTTTTGTCCCCCTTTCCTTTTTCTTTAGGGTTCAGAAATTTATTAAAAGAAAAATAGAAGGTTAGTTATTTTTTTTATTTATTAGTTTGTTACAATTTTATTTTTTTTTAGATTCTTCGCAAATATGGTTATTTAACTTATCAAACTTCTAGGAAAGATAAATTGAGGAAAATTATGAATTGGATTTACTTTAAGAAACATCATTAACGTTCTTTTTTTTCTTTTTTTTTAGATTTTTTATAAATACAACCCTTAAACTTACTGGATTCCTAATAAGATAAATTGATAAAATTTGTGAATTAGCTTTACTTCAAGAACGTTATTAACATTTTTACCTTTTTTTAGGTTCTTTATAAACACATTCTTAAATTTACTGAACTTCTTTAAAAGGTATATTGGAAAAGTGTTGAATGAGAATTTACTTAAAGAATGTTAAACTTACCTTTTATTTTTCTTTAGGTTCTAAACAACTTATAATTGAAGAAAACAAAAAAGATTAGTATTCTTTAGTTATATTTTATTGTAATTTCGGCTATACTTATCTTTTTTTTCCTTTATATTCCTGTAGATCTATTAGGAGATAAAATGAAAAGTACTATTTCTTTGTTATCATTTTGTTATATTTCATCACATTTTTTCTTAAGTGTTAGATTTAGAGTTATTAGACTTTAGTAATGTATTAATTTGATAAATAAAAAAAAATTCATTTTCTGAAAAAAAAATTCGTTATAATAATAATTCATTATAAAAAAGGTTATTTCATTTAAACTGTTTAACATACTTTACTTTATACTATATTATATAGTAAATAAATAGTAAATTTTATTATATCAAGATTTTTTTATATTTAAAAATCAGTACCATACTAAAAATTTATTATATAATGTTTTTCATTATATTGAAGTTCACTGTAGAAAGAGTTGACTGTAGTTATTTTAAATTATATATAATCTTGTATATTTTATTCAATTTTAAAACAATTATAAAAATATTAAGTTTGCTTTAAAATATTATTTAGATTAGAAAAAAAAGTAAACTTTCACTTTATTTTAAATATCAAATAAAACAATTTAAGAATAATTTAAATATTAATTAAATTACTTTTAACTTATTTAGTATTCTTAAGTATAAAAAATATCATTGATAAGAATGATTAAAATTTTCATTCTTATTAAATGATAAAATATCATTTAATAGGAAATTATTTAATAAAAATTATCAAAATATTATACTTATTAAATAATAAAAAAATCATTATCTTTTAAATTGTAAAGCAGGCAAATTTATCTATGAATATAAAAAAAAAAGTATTAATTTTTTAATAAAATATAAAATATTAATATTAATAATATAATTATTATAAAAAAAAATATAGTTTAATATATATTTTATTAATTTTATTAGAAAAAATTTTAAGTTTATTAAGAAGATTGTTAAATAATTCAATTTTTAAAATTAAGTTTTGAAAATTTTATTATCTCTTTAATTGATTTATTTATAAATTTGCAATATAAATTATAATTATTTTTAATTATTTTTAATTATTTTAAAATATAAAAAAATTAATACTTTTATAATAAATTTTATGATATTTTTTAAGTAAAAAATTAAAAAAAATTGTAATTAACTAGTGATCTTTTAAAGATAAATAAATAATAAATTATTATAAAAAAAATTAAAATTTTAAACTCATATCTTATTATCTATAAATCTTAAAAATATAAAAATATTATCATTTAATAGATCTTAACATAATAAATCTAATAAATTAAATTTTATATTTTGTAATTGCGGTAATGTAATATTTTTATTAAAAAAAATCAAATTCAGTAAATAAATACATGAAAATCCTAAGATAGATACATAAGTAGAAAAATAAAAACTGCTGTCTAATACTCTTTACTAGTAGAACTAGCTCCTATTAGACCAATTAATTGTCCTATCTAATTTTGATTACAAAAATTTACTGAGTAATCATCATTAAACTATATGAAGAAAAAAGTTAGAACTACTAGTTATCACCAGTTCAAAAAGAAGAACTAATGGTGACCATGTTTATAAGAATTATTTAAAAGAGAAATATAATTTAGGAAATCTGTATTATTAGTAAATAATGTATTAGAAAAACTATTAATTGAAAACTTAATATTAATTGAGGTAAAATTGCTTTTTTTTTGATTAATAATATGTAGGGTTCTTTCTTTATCAGTTGTTAAATCATATCTAATTTTTATATATGAGTATAAGCCTAATTAAAAATAAATTGAAAAGTAATGAGAGAATAGTAGAGATAATAGAGAAAGATTTAGTAAATGAAGTTAAAGTAATTGAAAGTGTAGGTAGAATAATGCCTTTAATGATATCAATAAAAGAAAAATCATGTAAATTTGCTTGTAGTGATCAAAATAATATAAATCTATTAGTATAAGTATAGTATCAAATAGTTTGAAGTATATTTATACATTTTTACTTCAATAAAAAGGTAATATTGAATATTTTAAGTCAATATATATTTTAGAAAAATTTATTAAAGAAAAAAAGAAAAGTTTAATGAAACAAAATATTTTAGAAAATTTTTTAATAAATAAAATGATGTATTATTTAATATGATTTAAAAATTAAAATCCCGTCAAGTAGATCTAACTAATTTTATTTATTATATAAATGTAAAATCTCTAATATCGTATATTCCCAAAAATAAGCACCCTGTGACACGCTCCTTTATAGTAATTTATTTATTTGTCACATGGAAATTATTATATTATTTGTCATATATATACTAATAAATTCATATATATCACGTGGTGCTTATTTTCAGAGGAATACGATATATAAAAATAAAATAAAATTATAGTTATTATATTATAAAAATTTGTTAAAATGTATATTTTTTATTAATAAACACACTTTTTAAATATACTCTTATTCTCAATTCTAAAGGGATACATTTAGTGTATCTTTTTAATTATAATAAAAAATAATATTATCATATTTTTAAATGATAATAATAAATAAATATTATTATTACTTATTAAATTATAATAAAAATACAATAATTAATTTTTTAATATAATATATATTAATATTTATGATATTAGAAATTTTTATTCAAAAATTTGGATTATTACAAACTGTTTTATCTAAGAATATGTGTTATTCTAATTATATTATGTACCTAATATTACATAACTTCATATAATGAAATTTTCACATAATTTTGTTTATACATCTTGTATTTACTAATAAATTAATCTAAATTTTTTAATTTAATTCTAATTTTTAAATTTATAATTCAATTTGAATTCAAATTAGCTTATAAATAAAACTAAATTGAATTATTTAAATTATTCCTTAATTTTTAAAATATTAAAAAGATTATGTATTAATAAGAAAAATAATAAACAAACTTTAATTAAAAAAAATTGAATCAAAATTAAGGTTGCTTATTTATATTTATCAAAATATTTAAATATTTAATTTTATAATTTTTTTATTAAAATTTTTATCAATCTTACAAGTTTATATATATGATTTTATTCTGATTTTTTTTATGTTTTTAATGAATTTTTTTTCTTTATTATTAAAATTATTTGAAGTTTTATCTAAATCATCTTAAATAAAATACCTGCTAATTTGAACTGATTTTTTAATATATATTATTTAATTATATTAATAGAGAATTATAAATTTATTCTAAATCTTTATTTTTACTTAATTATTGTTAGGATTATGGATCTCTATATTCTTTTTGCTATTATTTATTAACTGAATATTAGGTAATTAATTTATTAGTTTACATTGACCATTAAAAAAATCTTATCGTAAGATTGAAACAGAACTTTGTGAATTATAAAGCAAAATTGGAATTTGGACGATCTTATATCCAATTAATTAAATTAGTTAGATAATCAAAGACTGTCAAATTAATGAAATAACATCTAACTACTGATCTCTCTTGCATCTTGTGACAATAATAATGTTGCAAATAAGTTTATTAATTTAACGATATCATTGGTTCTTTCCTTATGCGGAAAATTTATAATGTCCCAAGAAATAGCACGATTTTATTTTGTACTATTCTTACCTCCCCCCCAAAAAATGATGCTTAAATATTAAAATGTTTAAAAAAATTTAACTAACATATAGCCTATAAACACTAATAATGATAACAATAAAAAAAAAGAAAGGAGAGAGAAGAAATTTTATACATTTTCTTCTTCGCCTCTCACAGCCATATATCCGCCAGTTGTTCTTGAAGTCATACTAGTTCTTCGTTCAACGAGAGGAACATCGAAAAGTCCATACCAGTCAACATTTTGTAACATACCACCTTGACCTTGTGACCAAAAATCCACACAATTGTTCCAGCATCCAAAATCAAATGGATTTCCATTGGAACTATGATAAGTATGAGAATGCTTTTGACTATTCCCACCAAATAATTTTAAAATACCAAGATGATTATGATGGGTTCGAGTATGACCATGTCTTTGATGAGCATGGTCGCCAAATCCCTCACCCATTCCATCTTCAGTAGCTGTTAAATCATCTCCACCATGATCTCCCACTTGTGCGGCTCCACTTGCTCCAGGTCCTGCAGCAAGTGTGGCCATAATTTGTTCTCGAACATTTCCACCACTACGATTTCCAAAATATGAATATCGGTGGAAATTTGCCATTTCATTGGTGGTTTTTGCTGAAGCAATCTGATAACTCTGCATACAAATCAATCCAATAGTCCATGTGAATTGTAATGCTAACCAAATACCCAAGGACATGGTCCATGTGTCATATTGGAAAAATCCACATATCGCGTCATTTAAAAAACACGGTTCAGATGGGATTGGATCATATACAGGTTCAGCACCCAAGAAATCTATCAACAAGAATATATAAAAATTTGTAAATAACATTTTCGGATCGATGCATACATCAACATGTAAAAAATAAAAAAAACAAATGCCAGATAATACATTGGATACAAAGATATTCATAGCTAATAATTGATATAATCATCATTATAAGAAAAACCATAAAAGCACGGTGATTCCTCACTCCAATACAATTAAAAATCCACGGACAATGACTAATTGTTAAGGAAAAAAAAAGGATAAAGTTATCCATGAGAATTTTCAGACATTATAAATGAATAAAATAAAAATCTTACTGATCAAATCGTGCAACACATCTATCACATATTTTACAATGCTTAGAACGCAAAGGTTTTTTAATCTAAAAAAAAAAAAGGGATTTTACGCGATTTAACATCTAAATTTTCATAACTTTAATCCAGTTTATCTCATAATAATCACTGACCAAACATGTAATACACAAATGCCTCGCATCCAACATTCCTTTGTTTGCAAGGTTGATTACCAACTAAATTTAAGTAAGAAAATAATTAGCGAAATATTATAGAAAATGTAATTATTAGTTATAACTTGTTACCTCTTTTTGTTCTTCCCGAGCCGTCAATTTTGGAACAAATCCTGGATCTGTCAAAACAGCTGTATAAAAAGAATACAACGCAATGAAATAAGAAGTAATAAATATTATATTTGCCACCGGAAGATAAGAAGTAGCTAATTTTTTTTTTAAAAAAAAGAAAAGAAATAAATAAAAATACATATTAGTATTTTTAAAGAAATTTAATTTAATTAAATTAAACACAAATAAAAAAATTTATATATATATTATATACCAAGTAAAATTTTAAAAAGCCACGTCACACCAACCCAAAAAGCACTTGCTTGAAATAAACTCGTAAAATACGGAGTTCTCATCATTGCATCCGGTACATGTGCTGTTATGAGAACCTTTACAATTAATATATGAAACCCGATAAATTGTCCAATTGCTAGAGGTAACCCAATGAACCACGGATATTGGGTTAATATTTGAAACGCAAAAAAAAGAACTAGGAATGGAATGAGATATATGATCGTGTGTGTTGTTCGCTGTTCCAAAAGAAGAAAAATAAGAAAGAGATATATATATTAGAATTTGATAATACAATATATAAAAATGGAAATTATGACTCACTTGACCAAATAAGTATATCTTTCTATCCCCTGACTTTGTCCTTCCAGATTCACTTAAAGCTCTATTCCAAACTTTTTCGGCGCCCATTTCTCGAGCAAGGTCCGCAGGAGATTTTCCATTATCTTCTTTTGCATTTATATCGGCGCCGGCTTCTATTAATTTTCTCAAACACATTTGATTTCCTTTGGTAACAGCCCAATGTAAAGGAGTAAAACGTGCAGTATCAACCTTTGAGATTGAAGCACCAAGTCTAATAAATAAATCTAGTGTCAAAGGATCTCCTTGATATGCAGCCCACATCAAAGGAGTGTGTTGGAGCGTATCAGGTGTATCAATGTCCATATCTTGGTATATTAGGTATAAAACTAGCATAGTATTAGAGGAATGAGTTGCAAGGTGAAGCCCGTTAAATCCCTGAGAATCTCGTAAGTTTGGATCAGCTCCATGATTAATCAACAAGGTTACAATCGGAAGGTGTCCATTTCTAAAATATTTATTTTGCAAGTAAATATTCACTAATTCCGCATAATTATTCTAAATCCTTCTAACAGATCAGTAAAAAAAAAACCACTCAAAATAATGACTTCAACGTTAAACGTTAAACGAACCTTGTCGCCCAATGTAAAGGAGTAGCAACTAGATCACCACCAAACGCATCGATTTCAGCTCCACTTTCGATCAAATATTTTGCTACAACTACTTGGTTATTGATAGCAGCCCAATGTAAAGCTGTTACATTTTGTGAATCCCTATCTGTAGCCTTAGCATATCCATTTTCAATTAAACTTTTAATAATATGTAAATTCCCTTGTTGTGCTGCTTGATGAATCGTCATTCCTATTATTCGAATAAGAATGTCAATCTTGTATTACATATAAGGCAAATAGTAGCAAGCGCGGAAATCACTAATTAACAACATCCATAACCGATCTCGGAACGTTTCTATGTCTGGAAATAAGATACCTGAAAAATGATCCCCAGCGGCAGAAAACGAGGTTATATGACTCTCTGTTTTGTTTACACTAACAGCAGCGGTAGCCTTTACAGCGGAGATATTAAGACCACCTGGCGTACTTGAAACACCATCAACACCATTACCACGCTCTGAATCATCGCCTTGTATTTTTGAAGGAGCCATTGGAGCAATGAGAGTTTCAGCTACGATCCACCCAATACATATAGTCTAGTCGATCAACTGATCAAAATCTTACCTAATCGAGATTTAAAATAAATTTTGTACAATCTTCTGTTGCATTGAAACAATTTGCTTTTTTAATTTATTAATATTTTCATTGTTTTAATCATTGTTTTTATTTACTGTCCCAAAAATCTTTTTTTTTTTTTTTTTGGTCTAAATTAAAAAAATTACAAAAAAAAAAAAAAATTATAATTATTCCCATAAAATATATTCTTTTCGTTCTTTTTTAAATTATAAAATGTCAAATTTTTGTAAAGTATTAAGATCAATCAATTAATTACATTATCATTAATAATTATAAAATGCTAGATTAATTACATTATATGCTTTTTCACGGTTAAATCTAATTCACTCACAGACCTTGTTAAAGGTAAAACAATTTCATCTCTCTCTCTTGCTTTCCTTTCTTTTTTATCAACATCTAATTTAGCTTGATTATACATATAAAGACCGACAAAAGTTAATGTTATACCAATACCTTGGATAAAAGTAGTCTTTTGTCCAAACCATAATATACTTGCGGTTATAACGAAGATTCTTTTTACTAATGACGCGATTGAATAAGTTACCGGGGAAGTCATCGATAAAATTGATAACGCTAAAATTGCTTGAGCAAAATGAGTTGTACCATTTAGCCAAAAATAATATAATATTGTCCATCCACTTGTAGTATTGGTTACAGATGAATTAAAGTACTCTAATATTAAATGAAAACCATCATAATATAACCACATTGGTGTCATTAAACTAAATGCCGATAAACTTGAGTAAAACAAAACGTTCAATTTATCCAATTTATGTGTTTCAAATCCGGGATGTTTTTCATTAAAAAGAATTTTCTTTGAGAAAATATTTTGTGCAACAAAAATTACAGTAGATGTTAACGCGAATAAGAATCCAATAAAACTTGATGCCGAAGAAGAAGCGCACGCGAGCATAACTCCAATTGTAAGTGGTATTAATGATACATATACCGGATATGAATAATTTACTCCAAATCCGAATTTGTAAAAGAACACTGTAAACAACGGAGATAATGCCTAAAAAAGGTAGGAAGGTTTTTTTTTTAAAAAAAAAGGATTGCTACTCGCTTCGCTTTCTCTTCCATTTGCACTCTCCTTAAATTCTTACCTTGATAGTGTGGACGAAGCTGACGGGAACTAGAGCCGTGGCAATACTTGAAAGAACATGGCTCCCTATTTGAAACAAGCATAACGGTAAAGTTCTACGTATAATTCCTACACTTGGACTTCGAATTCTAGTTAAACCCATTCCTTGTCCAAAAGCGTAACAATAAAATCCAACAAAGCCAAATTGTACCCAAGTGAGAGTAACTGGGTAATTAAATTGATTTAATAATTGTTTACCAGAATTATTGGTAATAGCCGATGAGGCATACCACAATAAACAATATACTATAAATTTCAATGTATCGTATTTTAATGAATTAAATATGGATCTTTTAAAGTTTACAAGTGAAAATTCCTTATTGACTGAAGGCGATGTTAATTTCTCGGATAAATATGGTTTCGCCGAATTCATCATATTATTAATAATAGGATTAACCTTTTCTACCTCTTTATACTGTTGACGTAATTTCCCTAAAAGACTGTTGGACTTGTATTGTGCTCCAAAATCTAAACTTTGCATCCCAATAAATCGGGAAGTTTTTAAACTATCAATATATGGTGTTGGATGTATATTTGGTGCCGCTGAAGGTAATGTATAACTTTCTTTTGAAAACGATCTTTTTCGTGTTGGTCCTTGTTGTTTTGCTTGTTGACCACTGCTGTATCCGTTCTTTACAAACTCTGTATCTATCCGAGGACCATTTGCCACAACTCCATTTGTAGTTGCCGTTGTAGTCCTCATGTTGTTAATATTAGATGTTTGAAACGAAAGAGAGTTATACGGATTAGTTGCTCGTCTTTTTGAGGTAAATTTGGGTGTAGGATAAACTTGAGGTGTTGTAGCTTCTAATCCAGGTGCATACACGCTAGTAACGGTCACAGGTGAAAACTCTTCTGGAGGATTGGGTGGCATTGTTTTAAAGTATATTAAAAAAAAAAAAATTGGTAGAAGTTTGGGGAGTTAAATTAATTTTTATAACCTATCAAACATTGCTCGGAAAATTATGGAAAATTAACTAAAATTGATGTCATTTACTTAATGATATATCCTGATTTTTAATGAGCCGGTTTCTGATTTGTCGAGGCTTGGTCACCAACATTCGGCTATATAAACAGAACAGATCTAAAAGATAACATCTGGACTTTCTATATATATCTGCATTTGTATAAATAGTATCGGCAACTCGGAGGTTATAATTGTAAAATAGGAAATGATATATGCTTGATCCTGTATAATCAATCGGATGTAATAAAAATTAAAAAAAGAAAGGAAAAAAAAAACTTTTTGTTTCGAAATTGAAAAAACTTTCTATTTTTATTATACTGAAACATCTAAATAAAAGCAGATCACAATAAGAAATTGTAAATAAGTTAAATAAGTCAAAGATTTCAAGTATGCTTATACTTTTAAACAACTGAAGGGCCAAATTGTTGAACGCCTCAGATAGTCCTACATTCACTTAATAGGATTTTTCTATTTTGAGAATACTTTCATATTTGTGTAATTATTTTCGGATATTTTTTGTTGGTAATCCAATCAATCAAGAGAGGAAAATATACCAGGTTTCAGAGTTTAACCTTATTTATACATGGTCTATATATAAAATTGGAGGTTGATTTCTTTAACAGACATCCATTAAATCGATTATATCATAAAGTTTAATCTTGTAGAGTTTAAATGAAATCAAGATAATATTTTGTAGTGATGAAATACCCGATTTGTCCAACTCAAACTGATTTACGAGTTTTTTTATTTGGTAAACTCAAGATTATATAGGACCTTTGCAATAGATTGCTGGGAAAATCAATTTTACTTTTATATGCCAAATATGATTTTTAGGTCAAATTATAGCATTATCTAATTTTTTATTTTTTCCAACCGTTTCCCTCTTCTCTATTGCAAAAGGTCCCATTTAATCGTCTATCAAACTCGTTTTTTTGACAACCGTTATCATGATACAATATGACAATCATACACAATACGTTTGGCATTGCGTTAATGATAAAAAGTTAGGAAGGGTTAAATTTACATACAAATAAAGATATTTGATTTTATGTTTAAATAATTATATTTTACTTTATAACATGACTCATTTTAAATAATAATATTTAAAGAGAGAAAAAAAAGATTGGTTTCTTTTTAAAATGATAAGATTAAAATTTGTTAGATAATTACAAAATATAATCTTTTAATTTTTTTTTTCAATTTAATTACAAAAATAAATTATTTTAAAATGTATTTTTAATGGAATTTTGTAAAATATCGCCATGGCGACATATCGCTAGTCCCCGATATCACGTGATTATATCACGTGATATATAAATATCACGTGATTAAAAAAAAAGCATCGTTTATTTATTAATTATAACTTAATATTTCAATTACTTGCTTTCTTATTACATAATCATATAA